TGCTGCCTCATTATAGGGTTTGGGCCAATTTGTGTTTCTATAAAGGCAATCTGGTTTTTGGCAAAACATAATTTTAAGGATCCAGTCATCTAAGGTATTTTATGTGTAGTTAGAGATTTCACAGTATTGACTATGCATATATTTAAACTATGAAATATCCTGTTGGTGTTTGAATTTGCCTTCCTTTCCAAGCCACCTGGTTGTCCTGTTTTATAAGCTGGAGGTTAACTAATTTAGCAAAAGAATAAGCATTTCACTTTATAAAGACACTCCAAATGATAGTTACTTGATTCTCTTGAGACCTTTTAACTGTGGAGATAAAATAACCAGACTTGCTTTTAAGCCTTAATACATGCAAAATGCCTTTTCATGAAGATATAGCTGAGTGTTTTCCTCGTGAATCTGAACCAGTTATGAATGTGTTTCCCAGTCTTGATTGGTATTGACTGATTCAAATAAAGCTGGTTTATTTTCAAATATTATAAATGTGATCATCAGACTTCTTATTTGGGGTGGAGATTTCCTATGCTGTATTAAATGACAGTTATGAAATACTTCTTTTTCCAAATAAAGGTTATTTTATTTTCCATTACAAAAAAATAATAATATGTTCATTCTTTTTAGAAATCGAAAACAAATGAAAAGATGTAAGAGAAGAGGTGGAAGAAAAGTTTGTGGCCCCAGCCATCCAAAAACTGAACTTTATTTTAGCAAGGTTAAGAACTGTATCATTGTACATGGGCTAGGTATAAAATTATGCTGATGCCCCTTCATGTTTTTCATTTCAATTTCCTATCTGTATTATACTTGAGAGTAGTTGAAAGACGATAGTTCAGGTGTGATTTAAGGAGTACCTTAAAATATTTGCCTACCTGCACCTAAAGCTCTCTCTTGGCCCTCTGAGGCCTAGCCCCATCAGCATCTCTGGCTTGAAATTCCTACCCTTATTACGACCGCAAGGAGACCTGGTGGCACAACGGTTAATCACTCAGCTACTAAACTAAAAGGTTGACGTCTTGAACCCACCTAACAGCTCTGTGGGAGAAAGACCTGGCTATTTGCTCCCTTAAGGATTTTAGACTAGAAAACCCTATAGGGGCAGTTCTGCTCTGTCACATGGGGTCCCTATGAGTCAAAATTGACTCAACGGCATATAACAGCAACAATAACCATACCACCTCACTGAAATCAACACAACACCTGATGAGGACCTCTATGAGCATTCACATGGCTAAGGATGCAAAGGTCTCGGTGGTCTATGTGCTCCATGTTTTGTCAGAACAGGTCTTATTACCGAGGAAGGAATAGAACAC